TGTAAGAGAATAAAATGTTGTTTGTTAAAGCCATCCACTTGTGGTATTCTTGTTATAGCAGCACAAAAGAACTAAGAGATTATCTCAGATTTATATAATACCTAATTTCTAAGACATTTTAAGTACTTTATACATCATCTCAATTTATCCTCATCTCTAGGAGGTTGTTAAGAAAGTATTTTACCCTTATTCATGCATGATAAGAAAGCAGAATGAAGCCTCAGTGAAGTTAAAGGTTGAGCTCAATCTTGGAACTTTCAGATTCAGTTGATCTCCTTTTAAAAATGTACATGGGGCATTAGAGGTATGTAGTGCAAGGGGGTTGTGATGAGTCAGAATTGTCTCGCTGGCAGTGAATTTGGCTTTTGGTTTGCATGTGAAATGAAAGTTTGATAGTAGGCTCTGATAGATGGCCAACAAATCTCTTTTCTGTAAAGTCAGAGAATTGCATAGTTTTTTGTAGAAATACCTGATTATTCCATTAATAGAGGCAGCCGTTCTATTTCTGACCTATATACTTATAAGTAATTATTTTATGTTTAGAAGTAATTTGAATTTCTGCTTTCTGTTGTCTGGTAAGGGGGGGTGCCAAGATTGTCCTCAGTAGTTGTTGTATAATAAATGAAATCTTTCTGGCCTTTCCCTAGGTTAGTGTGGTGCTTGTGATGATGATGGTTGGGGTTCTTGGGCTGTAGACGAAAGAAAATGACTGCAGTTAATAACACCACCAACAACAACAACAACAGTGATTTCTCTAGCATATTTTATTTAATCTAAACATTTTCGGTTCGGCAGTCTACTTCTGTAGTGATACCGCCTCGGAAACCCAAGGAGGGGTCGCTATGAGTCAGGTCTGACTCAATGGCACGTAACAACAACAAATGTTTTCACATTGTGGTGTTTTCCTCAGAACAACTGGTTTGAGCAACACTTTTAGTAATCGTCACTAAGTCAGCCACAAAAAGCTTGATGAATTTTGAATTTCCTAACAAGGTTTTCTTCACCCTTCTCCCCAACTCCCCTCCCTCCTCAGACTATAGCCAAACATGTTTAGACAAGAATTCTGAGCTCCGAAGAAGCCTACAGAAATGGGATGAAAAACTGATTTTTTTCTTCTTTCTCTTGGTCAGTGTGCTGGAGAAGAGCAACGAGTTGGGACACGAACAGTGTTCATTGGCAATCATCCAGTTTCAGAAACGGAAGCTTACATTGCACAGCACTTTTGTGATAATAGAATAGTCTCATCTAAGGTAAGAGGTGTTTTGTTTAATAACAAACATAGTTGTTCATATAGTGAATCAGATATTGCCCTTATTTCTGCTTCTGAGGAAGTGGGTGCATTTCTCTACATTGATGTGCACTTATACAGATCATATGCCAACTGTTATAATTATTCCACAGAGAGTTTTTTTTTTTTTTAAAAAAAAAAAAAAAAACAACTTCACTTTGTCACATTGGAGCTGAAAGATCATTCACTTGCTTTCCATTATGATTCACAGTACCTGTTGATGATGCGTATTACCTTAAGCTTTCAAGTGTGCTACAAGTAGGAGTTACAATGTACAAAGCTTCCTGAATTGCCCTTAAATGGCAGCATAGAGACACAGATGATTTGCGTTCTTTTTGAGGGGATGCTGTCCTATGATGAAATTCATTTGCATCTCTAGTTCCCTGTTTGTGTGTCCCCCACACACACACACCCCTGAGTACACTTCTGGGTCCTAAAATGTACATTCTTTCCAGTACCCTGCTTGACCTGCTTAGAAAACAGCTGCTTTGACTGGGTCACCATCTAATTAATGCTTTTACTCCAGCATGGTGTAGGGTGCTAAGAAGAGCACCTTGAGAGTCTGAAGACCTGAGTTCAAATCCTAGCCTGACTAATCACTACCGTGTTTCCAGATTTATCTTTTACCCTTAACAGAAGCTCAGTGTCCTTTCAGTAAGCAATGACTCCCCTTTTCCCCCTGCCCTCCTACCCCCTGGTAACCACTAATAAGTTTTGGTCTCTATGCATTTCCCTCTTTCATATAAGAGGGACCGTAAAATATCTGCCCTTTTGTAACTAATTTATTTTACTCAGTATAATTGATTGTTCAAGGTTAATCCATGTTGTGACATGTATCAGCCCTTCATTACTCTTTATGGATGAGTATTATTCCATTATGTATATTATCCATTCATCGTTGATTTCTCCATATCTTTATCTCTGGCTGACCAGCCTAGGTGCTAGGTGCTTGATGGCTGACCCGCTGTTACCTTTTGTAGCATGGCACAAATACTGATGACTTTCTTCACTCTTCAACCCTTCTTCACACAGTTTGGCAGGGCAGAATCATAATGCTGGTGACACTTGGTTCCTTGCAGGTTCACAAGCACTCAGAACCTGAAACACAAAAGTTATGGCCTCCCTTAAAACATTACATTTTGACTTATAAGTGTGCATTTGATTTATCCTTTGGATAGTGAAGTAGCTGGAGAATAACAGGAACCTCTGATGGTATAGTGCCTAAGGCATTTGACTGCTAACCAGGAGGTAGGCAGTTCAAACTCACCAGCTGCTCCGTATAAGGAAGATGGGACAATCTCTTTCTGTAAAGATTTACTGCCTTGGAAACCCAGTGGGGGTTGCTATGAGTCAGAATTGACTTGTTGGCAATGAGTTTGGTTTTTTGGATTGAGGAGTAACATGTAAAATATGGATAGAAAGAGTGAAATTGTGTTCCCTGATGAGCATATCTGTAGACCTGCAGAACATTGTGAGTATATTGGTATAAAATGGCTGTTTCTTGCTCATTTTAAGCCCTTTTGTCAGAAATTTTATCATTAGCCAAACGTTCCCATACCAAGCCAGAGGTTTTCGTACCTCTGCCAAACATAGTAAAATCCTTTCACTGAAATTTTTGACTCACCCTGTTGTCCAAGAAAACAATCAATAGTTGTTTTTTGACCCAAAATCATGGACCTGTAGAGCTGAAAGAAAGGTCATTAACAGGCCATTTTGTTCATCTCACTAACTTTATACATGAAGAAACCAAGCCCAGAGAAATGAAGCTAGTGACATGGTCATCAAGCAGAGTAGTGATAAAGCCAGGAGCAGAACGACTTTATAAGGTCTTTAAAAACAACAACAACAACAACAACAAAAAAAAAAAAACAAACTCACTGCCTTGGACTCAATTATGACTCATATCATAGCAGCCCCTCCTTGGTTTTCCAAAGTGGTGTCTCTACGAAAGTAGGTTGCCCAGTCAATCTTCCTTCCGAGGAGCAGCTAGTGGGTTTGAACCACCAGCCTTCTGGTTAGCAATCAGATGCCTTAGGCACTATGCCACCAGAGCTCCCTTATAGAAATCTAGTGGCTCCTAATAAACAGCTCTTTTCACACCATTGTGCTAGCTTTCCTAGGGAATTAGTGTTTTCCATAGCAGATTAAGTGGAAGGGGATGATAAAGTGAATAACACTGTTTCCACTGAAGTAGTAATAGTTTTATTGTGATACATTGTGTGTTTTCACATTTAAAAACCCAAGTTTATGACTCATTTTAATTACCATTCTTTATGTATTTAGTAGGACATTTTTCATATTATATCTAGCTTCAGCTTCTCCAGCAGGCAAAACAATGTAATAGTGTTTAAAATATTCTGGAGCTTATGGGCAAATAAACATTCCTTTTCTAAAGAGATTTGCTTATATGTGAGAAACCAGGATAAAGGTGTGAATGTTTCTCTATTGATAGACTAACTTCTCTTTTCTCTGTGATTACTATGCATTCATAGTTTTCTAGTTAATTACTGATTACTGATCTGCTTTTTCATAAAAGCTCTAGAGCAGAGAAAGAATTGGCAGTATAGTAACTTTGGAGAAAGTTAAAACCATCATTTTAAGAGGCTAGTGTATAGTGTGGGAGCTCTGGTAGCATAGTGGCTAAGACACTTGCCTGCTAACCAGACGGCTGGCGGTTCAAACCCACCAGCCACTCCTCAGAAGGAAGGT